TCTTTTTTTTTCCTACGTTAAAATTCCGGTGATGGCACCAACGAAATTGTTAATAAACGCTAACTCATCACGTGCTACGGTGAGGAAAAACATCGTGAAGTAACCTGTATATTTTGGAAATAATAATTTAAAAATAAAATTCGAATATAATGTGAAGCCTGCCAATCCGCAGTGGGATCGCGTAGTGGACTATGACCTTATACCCTCTGTACAGAGGAGGCCTTTGCCCAGCTGTGGGACATATATAGACTGTTACTCTAGTTTTTAGGGTTTCGAACTATAAAAGGTATAAAAGGAACCCTTATAAGATCTCCCCACTCTCTTGTCTGTCTGTCTGTCCGTGTGTCACCACCGATTTTCTCAGAAACAGGTGGACCTAGCATTTTGAAATTTATACCAGATACTGAGATCTATAGTCCCTATTAGGTGAAACATCAAGATCCTGAGTCAACACGATAAAAAGATATGGGTAAATTTAGAATTTTGCGAAAACTTGTAAATTTACCTTAATTTTCACATTTTTTATTTTTCGGCATTTTCCCTTTACTGGTGCTGTAAGACCTTGCTTTTAAGCAAAATTGATAATTCTGCGTCAATCGGAACTACTCTATAGGTTTTGGGTCGAAAACCTAGAACTAGAATCACGAGCGTACGAATTCGACTCGCACTTGACCGGTTCTTTTTACTAATTTTATGATGCGTCAATAGATATTATACTTCACGTCGGACTGATGCAATGTCGTTACAATTATTGTAATATGTGTGTTACTTAGGTATACTACATTATTAATCCCATTACTCTTGAAAGACGGGAGCGACCTACTTATCTACGTAGCGTAAGATTCTCCATTACGTTTAGCGTAATACGTTCGCAGCGGAGTGTGCGATTGGTTGGGCAAACAAAAACACAATTTTCACGCCATTAAAACTTGCCCGACTGTTGGGAGTTTAACCCCTCGGAGATAGACGGCGGACCCTCTTCGCGGAATGCATAAGGTGGTTGCGGCACTATACGGCATTATAACACTTTTTGGGATATCTACAAGGATATTCTAGTAGGTTTTGAAATTTCGAGAGTGTATCAATCAATGGGACAATTGAATTCGGAATAATTATTTTATGAATAAGTAATTTGTCGTGTCTACGCTCATGGAGGGCGGTATTCAATGTTAGGTTGTGTTCGCTTTTAATTGATTGTCAAGTAAATGAATGTTCCTATCATGTAAGTCTAGTGCATACAATTTTTTTGTAAACCCTGATCGGTGGATAAAATAAATCACTAAATAAGATGTAAAACTGGGCCCTTGTTGCGGTTACGACGCACTTTGCAAATTGTAGATTGCATATCTATATGCATGGTCCGTATGGACTTAACATCGAAGCGGAGGCGAACTAAGCACTAATAAACATTCGTAAGCTCTCACTTAGGAAAGGGTAAGAGAGCCAATAACGATTTTCCAGGATGTATAGTTCTAGTTCGACAAACCATCAATCTTGACGGATTTTTTAAATAAGCACTATATCAATGAACAGCAGAGACGGATTTTGAGAACACTAAATGAATGAAGAATGAGCCGTGATAGCTCATTGTACGAGCTCGCCTTTAATTCAATATACTCGAACAACCTGGGTTCGATTCCCGGCGCCGGCACTTTTTTAAGTGCTTACTTATCACCTGCTCAGTGATGAAGGAAAAAGATCGTGAGGGAAAAGCATATTTTCGAAACACTTGCAAAAAGATATATATTTCGAAGATATGAGTCCACCAATATGCAGTGGGGTCGCGTGGTGGACTATGCCCAGCAGTGGGAAATTTGTAGGTTTTTACTTTACTTTAATCTACAATTACGAATAAAGCGATCGATCAGGGCGATAAGTAATTCCAAACCATTCGTATAATGTTCCTTACCGGGAATTATTCCGAGCAATTTTCATTTCGGTCGCGTTTCGGATCGTGTCTCTTTTTAATTCTGTAGCCCACTTTTCAACGTGATTTCCAACAAACCGCAATTCCGAGTACACTCGATCGTATTACTACAGGTACACGCGAATAAATCAATTGCTGGGGTAGAGGCGAGGGGGTCGGAGATGGATTAGTTTTCGAGAAGTTGGTCCCCTTGCGGGTTCCGTATACAGCAGGGCAGCGCGTGGTGAATATTGAAAGAGGCATTGCATTGCATCTATGGCAATGGAGAATTTAACTAGAACGCGGTGAAAGTTCAACATTAGAACTCAAACTACTACGATGCACATTTACAGTGATGCAGTTTAGTCTGCTCTCGCGTCTTGACCTAACATAGTTGCAGACAGACAGACCGCTAAATCAATGCCTACTTTTGTTTGACGACTTTGGTGGTACTGTATTTAAGATATAGACTTTGTTGCCACGTTCGATTCTGTGCAATATATTAGTATTTTAATAATGTACTTTTGTCTATAAAATGCCATATGGATGTATAAAAGAACTTACCCGTAAAAATATTTCGAAACTAAAGAATAAGGACAAGCCGATTAATAATAACAAATTTTACAACTATATACCTATAAACTAAAAACGTATAAAGTTAATAATTTAATTGTTTATGTGTAATTACTACTTTCGAATGGCCAAAAATGTTCATCTCCCCTTAAAACGAGTCTAGTTCGCGCGTAAAGCGACAAAGTAGTAAAGTTTGCTCAATAAAGCGCTTTCCAGTAAGTCTGCGCCGGGAAATGTCCAATTCCATTCGAGTCGAGGCTCGTCGCGCCTCTGGGAAACTTTTAATAGGCTGCAATTATTGTATTCTTTCTTTGAAAGCACGTTCTGCGCTCATTCAACGCCACCTAACAAAAGTTTTACAAGGCTGTCCTTTTGCAGAATATAAAGTCTACTACTGACGCTCGCAAGCCATAATGACGATTGATGATTGAGCTTTCTAAATAATTCTAACTAAAAAAGAACAATTTCCAAAAGATTATTATCCTTTTAACATAAAATTTATTTTTTTATTACATATATTTAGATAGCTTAAAATTTTTAATACATAAATGACGGGTTTTTAAGCCAATTTAGAATAATGATGTCCTTGCTGTCAACTTCTCGATTGCAAATAATACGTGCCATACAAAATCATTCTATGTTTCTTTTAGCAATTAATATGCAACGCTAATTAATACACACAACATGTTTCAATTCCTTTTTCTTCGTACGAAATACAACTGAAATAGTTAAATGTGGAATTATGTATTGCCCTAAGACCAGTTTAGTGGCCAGGACTTTATTATAAAGTAACAATGAAGTTAGTGAACAAGGAAGTAGTAGTAATATATGACTACGTATTTTTTCTCAATAATTTTTCTAAAACATGCAAACCTGCAAGATGTTTTTCTTCACCGCTGAGCGCGTTACAAATCAGCACTTAAAAGTGTTACCAACAATTTCACACTGAGCTATCACGGATCTAAGCGAGCGTCCAGATTCTGAGCTATCACGACTCCCGTAATCTGAATATAATTGAAAAACTGATTCATCGGCGTCACCTTTCGTTGTTTATATCGAGGCACGGCCGTAAAAAGTTAACAACCAGCCAACTGCTAGTCAGACTCGCGCACAAAGGGTTCCGTACATTATCTATGAAAACGGCAATAAAAAATCATTACTGTTGTATGGGAGTCCCACTTAAATATTTTTGTACTGTTTTGTAGTATTTGTTGTTAACAGAAATACACCATCTGTGAAAATTTCAACTGTCTAACTATCACGGTTCATGATATACATCCTAGTGACAGACGGACAGATAGACAGACAGCGAAGTCTCAGTAAAACGGTCCCGTTTTAACCTTTCGGTACGGAACCCTAAAAATGCGATCATTTCAATTTTAATGTAAAACGAAACGCTGTTCAACAAGTAGGTATACACGAAAACGGCGGCGCGTCGCGTGCCCGAAACAATTTCAGGGGGCTCAACGCAATCCCGTAAGCTTTCACTTTTTCAGCGAGACAATACACGATCCAGTAGTAGCCGAAGATGGATTTTCAAACCGCCCGTCATTTTGAGACGCCCCAATTACCTTGCATTAAAATTTGTACATGAAATCTTTAGTTTTTTAATTTTATATTTTTTATTCTAATATTTATTATAAATAAAGTTTCGTAAATTATTATGTGCGGCCCACCAAAATTTTAAATTTAAATTGGCCCATTGATTAAAAAGGTTGCTCACCCCTGATCTAGGATAATCTTGATTGATCTTGATTTAGGAAATTGTCTAAATTTTCTTTTCTATCGTGTGGTCTTAAATATTGTTTTATATCGCCGACAATGGTAATGTGTGCTGAGAATTTAAAACCCAATCTGCGATTGAAATTGCTTTACAAATTTAACGTATTGTTTCTATGCAAAGTTTAGCATCAACGGTAAAGTAATGGTTGATGCATATCAAGGCATTGGTTTTTAATCAAAAAGCGTGGCCTTTAATAAAGCGGCGTTTACGAAATTTTGTCTCCAAGCCCAATGTTCCAAGAATATAATAAAAACCATTGAATTAGGTTTAAATAAAAAAAAAACACAGAACCGTAGTGGAGATCTGTGACTTTTAACTTCCCCACTGACAGTTATGTAAGCACTGTGCTCGCAGTTCCAACAGCGCGTTCCACTAATGGCTTTCTAATTAGCACTTTGAATAATAACTACCCAATCTAGAAGCAGACGTCTCAAATTTGAATGCTGCCGCGGCACCTCATTATGCATACATCAAAAGCGCGATCCTTCCAAGAGTTTTCGGAAGCCGCTGAAAGATCACCTATACGGAGATTTAAACGATTGCCAAACGAACACTCGGTTTATTACATACTTTGCAAACCATCGAAAAAGTTTATCCTAGCCCTGGTTACTAACAGCTTCTGATGTTGCACGAATGGGCATCAGTTTTCTAGTACCCATTGTGTAAGAAATGTGTCCGAAATATTTAATATTTAAATATTTATTATCCGATAGATTTTTTTACAGACTAGATACTCACTGCAGTCTGCCTCGTCGGTCCCGTCCACGCAGTCAACGTGCATGTCGCATCGGTAGTGGGGCGGGATGCAGTAAGTCTTGTTGAACACGTACTGGCCACAAGTCAGCTGGCCCGGCTCGCACTCCGGGGGGGCTGCGAATGAAGCGTTAGGTTAGTAATCGACAGTATCATCGTCATTTCAGCCTGTTCGAGTCCACGGCCGAAAATAGGCTCTCCAATTCTTATTATGATTATCTGATACTGAGCCACCAGCATCCATCGACTTCCCGCACATTTTGACAGGTCGTCACTCCATCTAGTGAAAGGTCATCCTACACTAGGATGGCCAATACGAGGCTGTCACTCGGTAACCTTCTTGCCAATCGGTTAGCAGTTCTTCGAGCTATATGGCCCATAATCGACAGTATATTAAATATAATCAATCTTATAAAATTCTCTAATATACACGTTCTTCTGTGTAATTGTGTATTTAATGTGCTAATTTATAGTAATCTTATTTAATTAAACGGCGGTCAATTTATACTTTCATAAGAGCTTGGATCAAGTCTAAAATCTTTTGACTTATTTTTTACTTTTTACCGAAACATAATCAGTTGATAATATCAATATCTGAATGGATAATAGAAAGTATTCCTACAAATTTCAGTGACAAGAATTGTTAACGATTACTACTTTTTTTCAATTACTGATACTTTGCGAAACAGAAAACTAAAGTGGAAAGGTTAAGCTAATAAACGAAATACGAAAGTACTGAAACTCGTTTACAGTGGAACAATTACAAAGGTCAATTACTGAGGTCAAAGGGCAGCGTCAGAGGTAATCAACGTAATTGTGAATTAAATTTCAGTTTGAACGATGTCATAATTTGATGCAAACATGAGCGAGGGGTGGTAAGGCCACAATTTGGCGATATAAACTACAGAGAATCCTTAGTTACCTTTGCCCAGCAGTGGTTGCCCAGTCTTTTAACCTTAACAACAAACAACGCTGACAGACAAAGCTAATGGTATCTACAGGTGTTAAACTTCGCAAATTGAGACCAGACATGTCTAGTTATTATAAGTCAAATTGAAATTAAGTCTAATTGTTGGAAACAGTTATTTAGAACAAATTACCCTAGAAACGAAACTCTTTCGCTGCTACCAGGAGTCGAACCTCCACATTCCGTTATGTGCGAACAGACGCAACGGGGCATCTTTCTAGTTGAGGACAAATCTCAACGTCTTATATACTCGGTTTTATTGCATTTATAGCTATTCTTGGAAATAAATATTATGTGCTTCTTTTCCAAATGATATTTACACAGAAAATATTTGAAAATTAAAGAACATCTTTTTAGTGATGGGTGGGCTTTTACTATTAAAATAAATATATAAATATTATTATAATAAATATATATATAAGGGTGGAATATAGAAATTTTGATCCTGACTACTCGAAAAATATTGTGTGAGGAAAGTAGTGTTTTTGTTTGGGACTAGATAACATTGTATAAAAATATTCCTTAAAATTAGAGATTGGATGATAACCACGACTTCATCAGCCTTGCTTAAAATATTAACAATGTTTTTATCTAGCACAGACAAAAAGCAAGTCACTGAACACGTAGTTCTTATGAAAATCGCTGTTTCTAAAAACGTTAATAACTACAAAAATGAAGATAACACGATTTTTTTTCTTGTATAAAAGGGCGTAAGCGCTTGGTCCACAACTGAAAGATTTCATTGAAATCTATCTATCCGTTTTTCCGTAACGCGTGCATAACCGCAAGCCTCCATTATTTTATTATTTGATGGAAACAAACTGAATTAAAATACAACGAACTCCTCTCTTAATGATAAATTATAAAGATTCGATGGGGACTTTATTTGGAGAGCCCTCCAGCGTAAATGAGCACTCGTCCTAATTGGAAATTTGAATTTCTTATGTAATATAACATTTTTTGTAAGCGTCCGATATAATAAAAGACCTTAAAATATTATCCACGGGAGAATATACATTTACATGAATTCCTCGTAGTTTTACCCTGACAAATTATTACCTATGAAATTAAATGTTATTCCGTAGGTATAGGAATCATATTTTTTTTAAGTAAGATCATATACAATACACATTTTCTTTAATTATACAGCGTGTCGTTAGCACCGCGATAATAAATTAACACACGTCTAACGCTACTTGCCAATAATCATAAAAAAATGTAAAACGTTAAAAAATCCATAATTAAAAAAATATATTTTTCAAACAAACTAATTAAATAAAAAAGAAACAAAATTTGTAACATCCTATACAACTACAACTGACTGATTCATTCAGACACTTTTTCATTCGTTACCGCAGCGTCGCACTACAAATTTAATATCTCCTTCTAACAATATGTTTTATCTATTTCAAATTCATTCAACCCAATCATATGCTTTGTGACCTTTACAAATGAACTATACGGATAGTTCAATAACTCGGTAAATATTGATGTTTAAAGAATGTAAATGTTTATTACAACTTTAAAAAGTTATCCTCTATATGTGTGTTCATTTATAGTCGCGGTGGTAACGACACGCTGTATAACAGTCGTGCGGTAGGCGGTGATTTGTTTCACAAACGGACAGTCGCACGCTTGATACTATATCCTGTCATTTCCGAACGATCCTGTTGGTCGTTTAATTTAGCGGACATCACTCGTTAGATCGGTGTTTGGGCATCAATTAGCGAGTTTTAAACGGAATATCGCATGGCTGATGCACTACCACGATAGATAGGTCCCACTTAACGTTTATTTTTAACTTACCTAAAGATCCCTCATAATTAAGATTCGTTCGCTTTTAATTGAGTGTTGCTCAATCTTCAGGGACAAGTGAGTCCTCCTCCTATCCAAATATGATGCAGATTATGAGAAAGATAATAGGAAGAAAAGACAACTGTTTGAATAATGAACAATTAATAGAAAATATTATGTCCATACCTTTATGAAGTAATGCCCAAGTTAAAAAATGAAAATTTCTATTTTAGTCTATATAATATGTTATAGAATAATCAAATTAACTGAATATTAAAAACGGGCAAATTGTTAGTTGTTTTTTTTATTGCAAAAAAGAAATGTACCTAAATAAACACATTCATCTATAATTTTGGCAAATAAGAATTGAAAATGAATTGAACAGTATACGAATATAGAGATAAATCAGGAGGAATTCAAAGCAATAAGAATTTATGTCCGTTATGAGAACAATGTAGGTAATATTTATTCAGTTTCAAAGAATAATTCACTTTCAAATTTGTCATTGTACAACAACTTCGCTGAAGTCTAAGTTACCATAAGTTTCTAATTTTGTTAATAGATGGCATTAGTAATAAATTAGATTGGATTCTTGAAGAATTTGTATTTTGGATTCTCTCGTTCTGGATTCACAAAAGTTCAATGTAGGGTGGGTGTAGCAGTAACAAACCGATTAAGCGACATTTTGAAAGTAATTTTGATGTTGTGCCTTAATTATTACAACAACCATTGCAGAAAAGGAATAACATACTTCTAGTCTATCATAGAACCATGTAGTATATTCGGATTTTCTTAACAGCTGTTAGGTTTCTTTTAATTTAAAATTGAATGTGGAAAGTCGCAATGTGTCTAAGGTTGACCAGATTGTACCAGCTACAGACCAGACATTGTGCCAATAGTGAACCACAATTGCTTTTAATGAAGAAAATTATTATTAATTATACTGACAAGTTTTGTGCTTAACAATCATCACAACTTTTCATCAGTCTATAAGTTATCAAGAGCTTTTTTCTTGTTCTTCCTCAATTTTTCAATGCATCCATTCGCTGCTATTTACTGCATCAGGTAGGCGGCTTTCTTACGCCTTTTCTGGTTGTCTTTAATTGGAGATTTAGAGGGCCACACAATTGCTGATGGAAATGCAGGGATGATTGGTTGAATGTGTTTCATAATAACTAACATTTCTTTATTGACTGGAAATCCTTTTGGCCATCTTCAGGATTCTTCCTGCTTGGCCATAGTGGAAGGTCCCTTGTCTTTGTATATGATACTTCAGTTTTATTTTATTTATGACGGTAGTGTGCGGAATATAATATTCTTTGTTTCTCTAATTTTTACGCCTTTGCTTATCTCGTCTATCGCTTTTAAGATATCTTGCTCCTGATATTTGAAAACGTTCTTTTCGGCCACATTGTGTCTTTCTAGGTGGTCAATTACTGGTACAAACTCGTAGTATAGATTTTACCAGTAATAAACCACTGGTCTACAACTGGGACATTGCGGATATTTTAAGAGTTTTTTATATAAATTGTTTGCAGTGTATTAAGTACATATAAATGTAGAAGAAAAAGTAAATTAATGATCAAAAAGCTAAATCACCAATTGTAGACTAAATGGAATATTACTGGAAAATCATTGAATTTGTGTTCCATTAGTTTACCAATGACAACAATTGATTTAAATTAGCATGTTCTGATGAAGTAAGACGCGAGTTTTATTGCTTTACACAAAAATTTGGAAATTAATTTTATACATAAACACGACATATAATTTGTCCATGCTTGATTCCGATAAATCGATTAATTCATTAATGTGTTTATGACTATATCAGTCACCGTTACACCTACCGTTTTACTGCAATATCGCAAATTTTTGATATTTTATCGGTGATAGGGCCACGCAGCAGCCTCGGCCGTTGCACGAATGGGCAGGCTCGTCCGGGTAAGTACCAAAACCTCACAAAAGACCGGCGTGAAGTGGTACTTCCACTTCCCAATACTTTCGCGTTTCACCTGGTGAGTGAGGTGGCCGGAGCCCACTTTTCAAAAGGTTGTCAAGGCATCACTTAACATCAGGTGAACCGTCTGCTCGTTTGGCAACTTTTCACATAAAAAATGCCATAAAATCAATCGCCAACTAATTTTGACACGACTTTACTCATGTCAAAATCAAGCTAATAATTTATCTAAAATTATACAAAATTATTAATTTTTAATTTAACATTTATCTAAAATAATCATATTAAACCATCAAATTCCTTGCTGTATATAAATGGATAAATTACCGTTTATGGTAATGACCTATCTGTGTAACTTGTTCAGAAACTCTTTTGAATAATATTTCTTATCTTGTCTATAATAAAGGCCACGATACACGATCCGGCCGTAAAATCAAAAGAATGGTTCACAAGTCGTTCCAACGGTTGGCGGTTATGTCCAGCACGTGCAGTCACGTGGCTCCCAGCCGGGGGTACGAGATTGGAATCTTAGTGCGGAGGCGGGTAACGATTTCATCGAGATGGCTTTAGACTACAAGCTGTAAGGTGCATAACGAAGATACAAAGATGTATTGAAAAATGTGTCCTGTTTATTCGATGGAAATTCGACAACATTAATAAAAGTATGTCAGTTCTATGTATGTCTCCCGACAGGCCAAATTACTTTATAGAACCGGTTATGACGGATTCCAATAGAGAAGGTAACTATTCCACTTGCACCTTTGCGATTTCATGTTCATTGAATCCCTAATCGTGCCTTAGCCACAAAAGCTCAAGCAACAAATCATTCAATCAAGCTCAAACAACAATTACATAAGAATTTTTCTAAAAGGCCTCTCATCATGAACCATTAAGGAAGTAAATAAAACAGTAATGTATTAAGGAATATGAAACATCCGAAACGAACTGCTTGGCGAGAGATCACAATGATATTATTAAGGTCGAATCCCAGCGATGTGAACATAACGAGTTTGTTATGAGTAAAACCTTGATAGCAATAACTTTATCTGTCAATCAACAAGCTTGTTTTTTTTTAATTTGTAGAAAAAAGGGACGAAAGTTTTACGCCCCTGCGGGAATCGAAGCCGCGCCTTCCGGATTCGTGCCCAGACGCTTTAACCACTAAGCTAGACGGCTGAATGCCACACCGACAAAAACCTCAACGCCTTTTATCTACATCGTTTTTTCTCATTTCAAGCAATGCTTGGTGTATCTATTGTTATATCCTATATAGCATACTCAATTTCAAATATCTTTCTACAACTCGAACGAGAGATGTCCCCATATTGCTATAACTTATTGCTATTAATATTTCACATTAAGTTGGCACTATGGAAATTTAAAAAGCTTGCTTTTTTAATAAGTAAAAATATTTGAAAAAAGAAAGTAGACACAGTTTCCACTGAGAGCCAACTCTTGAGGCATTCAGGAGCAAAATAAATCATATTTAATAATTTTTTTAATGAATGGAGATACTCACGGCATGCTTGGAATTCGTCCTCCCCCTTGGCACAGTCACTTTGGTAGTTGCACAGCCACAGCGAGGGGATGCACTTGCCCTCGGGGCACCGGAACATGCCGTTCGGGCATATCGTGTCCCCTGGAATGAGAGGACGACGTTAATAAAACTTAATAAAACGAATCGACTGGCGCTTGAATGAATAATGCTGTACGCAACCAAGGAACACTACAGATTCGAAGCCGAAAATAGTTGGCTTTTCAACTGCACACGTAATAATTGCAATCATTGTATATTGTACAGTCATAAATTGTTATGTTGTATGCACTTAATGAGTGCATGATGTAATAATTAATAGTACCTAATGCATGTAAAACTTGAAACTTTCTGTTTACGTATCAAATGATGATAATTCGAACCTGACTCCCTCCAAATTGAAAGCTGACCCAAAAACCTTTCGGCTATCATATTTTATTAAAATTCTTCAAGTACACCTCCGCGATAAAGTCACCCGGCACAGCGCGCAGGTAAAAAGGGTCGGACGTATATGACCTAGATTGTCGGACCAACCTTTTTCCAGTTTATTAAAACCTTTCAGCCGATTTATGTGTCTGCGAGGGCGATGTGACAACGATTTGCGTATATACAAAACTAGCTTAGTTCACTCTTACTCTACACAGTCTTACACTGTCTATAAATTTTAATAATAGTAACATAATAATAACAATAACGAATATTTTTTCAACTTAGCTCTGATAACGAATATTCATCGCTGCAAATATGTACCATCAACCTAAATTTACTTTAACACTTGGCCATGTAACTAAAGCCCATGTTAACTTAATAACACCAGGTTACACCTAAGAGAAATAAATCAATCACATATAAGTGCAAAGTCATCACTGCGGATTGGCAGACTTCACAGGCCTAGAATTATTTTTTTATAAATGCAGTTTTCTACAGCTGTGTACGCACTAATACTGGTTTACCAGCTCGAAAAAGCCCCTGAACAACGGCAGCAGTGGGTGCAGCCAATGCAACCCTGGATACCACAACCAACTTCAGGTAACTTTAGAACAGGTGGCTCAGGCAACTTCAGAAGCAGCAATTTCAGGGACCAGCCAAACATAACTAAACGACAGGTAACCCCTCAAAAGCCTTCTGACGTGATTATGAGGTCTGTAAACAAGACTCCGAGACCGCAGTTCACCACCGAGGAGATCTTTTACACTCCCAGTCAGATGAGTAACCATACGCAATTATACTCCAACGAAGGTGAGTATCAAAATAGTATTCAACCGGTCGACAGCGATGACTTCGATATTGATGTTTACTTTAACAAGCAAGACTCCAACCAGGCTTCTCCTTTGGAGGAGACAGGACGACCAGAGCTGGTAGAGATCAACTTCCAAGATAAAGACCACCACCCCTTCACCAAGCTACCTGAATTTCAAGGTAAATTTTTAGTAGATACAGGAACAAGTCACTCTACTATTTCACCCGATGTTATTCGTGATTCTAGCTTTGAACAGTGTGTAGATTATGAACCCTTTGAAATATCAACGGCACATACTGTTTCGCGTCATGATCATGTGGTGTATTTGCCCTTACCACCCGCGTTTAATAGCAATATTACGCATAAATTTTTAATTTTTGATTTCGATCCAAAATACAAAGGTCTAATCGGATTTGACTTGTTGCGAAAATTAAAAAGTAACATTGATTTCAATAATAACTCGTTACACACCTCAACAGCGGATATACCGATATATTTTAACTACCCATACCAAAAGCTTAAAGAAGAACCTAGATGCGAAAAGTTAATGACATTCAAGACCCATTACATAGAAGGAGAGTACTTATATCACGATTTCTATTGGTCTGATGGCTTAAAATCACCCGCAGCGATAGTTAACGTTAAGAACGGGACGTTTAGAAGATCTGGTATTAACTTAAAAGCTGATAAAAAAATATATTTCAAACAAAGCCCCTATTAGATTAGATATTTACTCAAAAAATTTAAATAGAAATAGTAGTTGTGAATTAAACTATATACAAAAAATAACTAACAAAGACAACCCCATTCAACATATTATGAAGTACGTGATCATAGGATACAATAACGGGATACATTTCGTAACAGGCTATAAACCACATGAACTGCTATTTGATCACACAGAATCTCGAAATACCTTAGAAATGTTTAACCCGAAGGAATTCTACCAGGATTATGTACTCAATCACCGAATAAAAGTAAAAGCGATACAGGAGTGTATTGCAGCTTACATGTCCGGTAACATAGAACAGGTTATCGCGAGAAGAAGCCGAGATGCTGAAGAAGTATCTTTCAAGGTTAGTGAAATAGTATATAAGCAGGTGGCAAAGACAGCGCGGAATGACAGGACAAAGCCTGTCTTCAAAGGACCCTATAAGGTAATCCATCTACACCCCAATAGTATCGCAGAGATTTTATTTTTCTTTTATTTTTTTTTTATTTTTAAAAGGCCTATCAACAACTGTTTACACTATATCTTAATAATAAAAAAGGAAAGAAACAAAGTACTTGTATAAGTGTAACAATAACTTAAAGATAAGCACAGAAAGTACAGTTAAACATCATAACAATAAACATAAAATTAAAAACATAAATAATGAAATAGTAAAAAATAAAAAGTAGCTTAAAATAAACAGCTGTAAAATAAATTAAATTAAATTATGGTATGTTTATTACATAAGGTAAAATGTATATATTCAAATTTTAGAAAGTGAGGTATATATTATTTAAGAGACTTTGGCTATTGAGTCAACTTGAAAATCTATTTGATCGCTAAAAAGATTAATTGTTTTGCAAAATTTAATATAAGGAGAATTACTTCCCAGCACTGTTCTTCTTAGTGTGGACAAAGTGGTGTAATAGGTTTGCGAGGGATTCTTATAGGTACTCGAAATTTAAGCAAATTCAATAGTTGTGGGTTATCAATTTTGTTATTTAATAGTTTACTCACAAACTTAGCATCAAGCACTTCTCTTCTATGAGATAAAGAGTTTACCTTGAAATAATTAAGTCTTTCTTCATAAGATCGTAGTTCTCTTGACTTACCCTCAGAAAACGCCAAATGCCACATAAACCATTTTTGAACTCTTTCTATACGTAATGAGTGCGTAGCGTAATGCGGCAGCCAGACTACACTACAGTATTCAAGGATACTTCGGACTAGGCTATTGTAAAGCCATAATTTAGTTTTGAAATTACGAAAGGAATGACAATTTCTTACGATAAATCCTAACATTTTAGATGCTTTTTTTTTGTTATATTTTCTAAATGTGCATTAAACGTTAACTTACTATCATAAATTACTCCAAGATCACGTACAGTGTCTACTTCTTTGATTGCTGTATTGATTATGCGGTATATATGCGGAGATAATAGGTAGTCACCCAAATTCAAAGTCTATAAGAGTTCACTTCAAGTTACTACGTAGGCCTCATCTTGTTCTCAAGATCCTCGTCGCAGGAACCATCAACCGCAAAAGTGACTCTGGATCCCATTAGTAATGATAACGGCGTACTATTACTCAAACAGGGACAGTTACTTAGACAGACCGACTACTTTAGCCTAGCTTGTGTGTATAACATAACAAACATAAAGTTAGCAACAATTAAAGTAATGGCATTATATGCAAGCACTAAAGATGTTGAAAATACCCTAACATCTAGTTATAGATATAAGTCCTACGAGGATCAAATATTATATAGTATAAGTTTAATAAATAAGAAGTTAGCATATTTGATTCCCCCAGTTAGAGTAAAGCGCGGAATAATAAACGGATTAGGTACAATCGTAAAAACAATAACCGGCAACTTAGATAATGACGATGCTGTTAAATTCGAGAAAGAAATTTCAGATATAAGTAACAAGGTTAATAGAGTTCAAAATTCACAAAAGAAATCCTTAATATTAGCAAAAAGTATGATCAATGAATTCGGCAGTCAAATAAGTAAATTAGAGGAAAATCAGAAATATGTAGTTAAGATATTGCAAAATATAACGCAAAACTCTAATGGAATTAGGGACAGTTTACATTTATTAGATATATATTTACAGATAGACTTAAGTTTACAAATAATTTTAGAAAAGTTAATGACTTTGGAAGATGCCGTCACGTTCGCTCAATTAGGAACTATGCATCCAAGCGTTATTGGTCCACAAAATCTTATTAAAGAATTAGTAATTTTGCGTAATCATTATTCGATGAATCCAGTAGATGAGATAAATATTATAAATATACATAAGATAGAGAAATCTATAAAGGTTAAAGCATATAGTACACCACACTCAATAAACTTTATCCTGGAAATCCCCTCTGTTGATTCAAAAATATACGATTTTATTCACCTTTACTCCGTTCCTGACCGCAACAACCTAACTATAATCCCGAAGTCCAAATACCTTGCACTTGGTAGCGATGAGTACGCCCACATCGAGGAAGAAGACTGCCAACCAATCACCGATGACACTCATCTCTGCAAATCCCTGGAAGTCAGAAGAATGAAAAACACACAAGATTGTATAGCGTCGCTAGTTCAACATCAGAAAGCCAATTGCACGTATGCCAAGCTGCACCTGACCAAAGGAAAAATCCAGAAAATCCGGGATAACAGCTGGATACTGATCCTGCAAGATGATGAAATTATCAAAATCCAGTGTGGCACCAAGACAGACTACAAAAAGATGAAAGGAACGTTCATAGTCACACTCACTGAAGATTGTCGGATGCATGTCCTGAATTGCACACTACAGACCCACCTGAGAACAGTCTTCAACGACGAAACCATCCCCCTTCCTGAGGCACAGCAAATCACGCAAGAACACATCAAGTTTGAATTACATCAAGAGGATATCTCATTAGACAGCATCCACAAACTCATCAACAAGATAGATGACATAATCCCACAAGATGAATCCAACTGGACAACCCTGATGGCAACCCCCAGCTGGACAACTTTAATACTATACGGGCTGCTGAGTGTAGCGGCCATCTGGAAGCTGTACAAGTGGAAAACCAATAGACTACCACAGGATAGCAACAGCAGCGAGGACGCTGCTAGAAGCTCCAACTCTCGCTTCTATCTTAAGGAGG